TCTCAGAGAACGCAGTGATGGTGAACCTCTTAGAGCTTTCACTGATAGCAAACAGCCTGCTGAGGCCACTTACGGTGGTGCCGTAAGGTCACCACCACTGGATAAGAGGATCAGAAGAAGGAAAACAGAACATAGGTAGAAAGTGTATACAGTTGGGAGAAATACCACAAAAGAAAGCAAGCTAAATGGAGAAAGAAAGAGCAAGGTCTATTTATCCATTCGTCTATTTGATTGTTTAATGAATGCCAACTATGTAAGGCACCAAGACTACAAAATTAAATTATGAGCTGGCCAAATAGCTCAGCAGATTAAAAGGCCTGCGAGCAGGTGCAGGGGCCGGGGTTTGATCCCCAGGCCTGCCGTGCCAGTCCTGCCCCCGGGCATGCTGAGATGACAACTGAGACTGGGCATGGTGGTGTGCACCAGTAATCCCAGCTCTTAGGAGGCTGTAAACATGGGGATCACTACGAGTCCCATCTAGTAGTGAGACCCTGAACAACCTGTAGACCTTGCCCTAAAATAAAAAAATAAAAAAAAATTAGATAGAGCTCCTTCCCTGGAGGAGACCAGCAGCATGACATGACATGGTGCCCAAGCTGAGCGTGAGGACAGTGGCAGCTGTGGGTGGGTGCACGCCCTACTCCATCCTCGGGGGCCTGCTTAGAGAAGTTCTCCTAGAGGAAGGTACGCTCGGGCTGGCTCCAGGAGGTGTGAGAAGCAGCTACAGACCCACTCCCTGCCCTCCACACGTGAAGCCCCGACAGCAAGGCAGCAGCAGGCTAAGCAGAAGAAAGGCTGACGGCTCGGCACTGGGCACAGAGTGGGCAAAGCAGGGCGGGATCTGCCCTCCCACCCACAGATTCCAGGATTGCTAATCCTTGAGACCCTGCTGTGTTAGGTGTACCTCCTGCCTGACTAATGCTCACTACTCCAAGCAAGTGAGTCTTTAATCTTGTTTTGAAAATGAAAAGACAGAGGCAAAGTGTGCACATGGTCGTAGTCCTCAAGCTAAACCGTATTCCAAGCCACTTCAGGATGCTGCTTCCCTTTCTCTTTCCCTTCCGCTGCTCAAAGCACTAACTGAAAGGTCAGTGAAAAACTTAGTGAGGCACGGAAAGCATCTACTCTGTTCTCTTCTGTCTCACACCCAGGCCTTGACTATTGTATTTTCTCTTAGGACTTACAGGTAGTTTAGTCCCAGTTTTGTTAGAGATGCTGGTTTCCTGCCTATAGGACTCATCACTTCCGTAAAAAGGTGCTTTGCTCCATCCCAGGATGGGTGCACATCTTGCGCACTGCGTGGAAGTGCTGATGCTGCTGCGGTTTCACTTGGGTGGTGTGGAAGGCAGTAGCGTAGCACACGAGGCCGCGTACCCCAGAGGGAAGGCCTAGTACTGCGTTGACTGCCAGTCTTTCACGATTTTTTTTTTCCATGTGAAAGTGTCCAGTGAAAATCTCAGCATGGTGCCACGTGTCTGTAACCCCAGCGCTTGGGATGCTGACGCAGGAGGATTGCTGGGAGTTAGAGGCCAGCCTGGGCTGCATACTGAGTTCACGGTCAGCTTGAAATGCATAACATGACCCTGTCTCAAGAAAGAAAGAACAGAAAGGATCCGGTGAAATTCAGTGAATTTCCTTGTCGCCAGGAGGGAGGGAAGTTTGATGTCTAGCAACTGGGCTACTTGTCTAGGTTCTCTGACTCGGGGATTTTGCCTGAGGCCAATCATCTGGCCTCATTTTTTTCATCAGTATATGGATGAGGTTAGGTGGATGAGTAGATCAGGATTTATATCTCAATTGAAGATCTTTGGAGAATGGAGATAAAATGTGTGAAGCCTCCCTAGCACCAAGGCAGTTTATTATTTTGAAAGTCAAAATGACTTTTAAAGTGTTAAAATGTAAAGACCAGCGAGACAGCTCAGCAGACTAAGCACCTGCTTAGGCAAGCCCAGGGGCCGGGGTTCAAGCCCCAGCACCCAGGTACACTGAGCCAGCCACTGAGACTAGGCATGGTAGCACATGTGTATAATTCCAGCGCTAGAGAGGTTGAAAACAGGAGGACCACTATGAGTCCAACCTGTGTAGTGAGATCCTGTGATCCTGTACCAAATATATTTTTTAAAAAACAAGTATTAAAGTATAATTGTGCACTGTATTGCTGCTTACACTTTCTGGTATGCCTGTTTATTTTAACCAAAAGATGAGGAGACTCACATTGTAGTCCAGACTAACACTGAACTCTTGCAGCCCAGGCTGGCCTTGAACTCAAGATCCTCTTGCCTTGACTTCCCAATGAAATTATAGGCATGCACCAGCAGGGCCAGTGACTTATTTCCATAAAAGATTTTTAAAACTTAAAAAAATATTGTTAGCAAGAGTCACCTTGATTGTTAACCCCTTTGAAATGAGACCATTTCATTGTAACAGATCTGAAGTATTAGGGCCGGCCCAATAGCTCAGCAGATTAAAGCACCTGCAAGCAGGCAGAGGGGCTGGGAGTTCAATCCCCAGACCTGCCATGCCAGCCTCACTCCGGGGGTGCGCTGAGAAGACTGTTGAGACTGGACATGGTGGTGCGCTCCTGGAATCCCAGCTGTTGGAAGGCTATAAACAGGCGAATCACTATAAATCCAACCTAGTAGTGAGACCTGAATAGCCTGTAGATTCTTCCCTAAAATACAAAAAAAAAAAAAATTGAAGTATTTTCTCTGGAAATTTGTTTTTAGGGTTTTTTTCCCCCCTGATTTATCACAACATATTCCTTTTTAAAAATGAGCACTGGAGTAAAGAGGCAAATGTGGCGTAATGGAAAGAATTCTATAAAGGGGATCAGAATTTCCTCCCAGACTGGCACAGTCCAGCTGTAGGACCTTGGGCAAGTCCATACAATTTTCTGGTTTCCATTTTAAATATATAACATGGGGCCTGGGAGATCGCTCAGTAGAATAAGCATTTGCCTGGCAAGCTCAATGCCAGTGACCTCAACCCCCGGTTCTGCTAAAATCAATCAATCAATCAATCAATCACCAGCCCACCCATTCCTAAATTGGTTCCCAAGTATTTGGTTTTCAGCATCCCAGTAAAGTGGAGCTGTGTGTAGAGCGCCACCTAGAGTCAAAGGTGCAGCTTACAACCACATCATCCCCACAGTTTGGTTTAACTAATTCAGTGTCTTTTGTAAACGTTTGCTTCTTATCCAGGATACGAAATAAAAAGGAGTAGTACTGTATTATCAGTTGAGAACAAGTATTGGCTGGCTTTGTGGTAAATTAACAAAACTATATAGCTGGATTTTTTCTACATCCATGAAAGTAATACAATTTCATTTTAGATTTGAAAAATTATAAACAAGCAATTCCCCCAGAGTATTTTTTGTAAAGAAATTTATTAAGCAACAACCAGAATTAATATCTTGAGGAAATACCTTCCAGCATTTTCCACAAACATAAATACATGATTTATAAATTCATGTGCTGAAATTTAAGGTTATATCAGTTTTTTTCCTCTTTCACAAGATACAAAGATTTCTCCAGTGTCATTCAAGAATTATTTAAAATTTTCGTTTTACTGCTTGCTTGGCCTTTCTACTCTTATCAGTCGATATCCTATTGTTGGGTTTTTATACTGTTTACTTATAGCGAAGAGTTCTGTGTGGCACATATGCTCTTACTATATATATAACTAAATTCCCTGCGCTTGTCACATTGTCAGTGTCAGAATGCTTCCATGTTAATGTGCATTTTTATAAATGTACATTGTTATGGCCGCTAATAAAATATTCCTTCATTGTTACTCCCCAGTGTTCCCACAGACGTGAGCTGCTCGAGAGCAGATGCCGGCTGCTAGCTCTGGCCCTTTGCTTGCGTTGGCCTGCTGCTGAGCCCTTTCATTCTGGTGTCCCCTTTGCTCCGTCCTCACAGAAGCAGCACGTGCTGCGTTGTTTCAAGTCTTCCGTTACCCTGGCTGCTCCCTCCCCCCATTCCTCTGTGTGTCGGTTTCCATTCTCCAACTCTCTTCTTAAGTTTAAGTTTTCCTTTATTGCTATTTTAGGCATAGTTCTTGGGACGTTCTGATGAAAGACTTGCTGCAGTGGCAGAGCAAACAGTGCCTGTGTCCTTGTTGAAGCTTCCTTCTTCTGGTGTTTTGACAACAGGTGGATATCAGTGTTGACCAATAGCAAAGAAGAGGCCCTGACTATGGCCTTCCAAGGCGAGCAGAGCACAGGGGAAAACAGCTTGGAAGACCTGACAAAAGCCGTCATTGAGGACGTGCAGCGGCTCCCTGGGAATGACGTCTGCTGTGACTGTGGCTCAGCAGGTATTCATCTCGCGCTTGAGCAGTGTGTGAAATGTCCTGGCTGCCTGTGTGGCACAAAATGAGCTCTTTCTGTAAAGCCTTACCTCTTTTTTTATCTTACTTTTTAAAGAGAATGCAAAGTAGTAATAAAAGAGAAAAAATTAGAAATGATACAGAATTTCACTGAACATAATATGAATTTGACAGTATTTGTTGTATTGTACAATGTTGTCTTCAAATTAGTTCAGATTGTTAGATATATGCATGCGAAATTGGAAAAAGTTGTAAGAAATTAAAAGGAAAAAAGACAAAAAAAATTAAACATCAACTGTTCCTTTCCCTAGACCAGCAGAAATACATACTATAATTTTCCAAGCCATCCTGCTCACTGCTCATGATATGTCCATCATTCATAGACATATCTTTTCCCCCACTCCGTCTGCTGTCCTCCTTATCTCAGTGATTCCTTCCTTTTGAACAGGTTCGTTCCTTCTTCACAGTACCTGTTGTACCCTTCAGATTTTACTCATTTGAGGTTCTTACGCTATGGAGACAATATGATATTTGCTCATGTGGGTCTGATTTATTTCACTGACGAGTATGGTCCCTGGTTGCATCTATTAAACAATAAAGCCTTAAATTCATCCTTTTTTATAGCCAAATAATACTCCATTGTGTAAAAATACCACATCTTTATCCATTCCTCAGTTGATGGCACTTGGGTTGCTTCCAAGACTTAGCTAGGACAGCTTGCAAAGCCTCGTCTCTGGGGCACGCCCCAAGTGTCCCCCCTGGGCTGCCCTTCCGTCATTGCCTTGTCTGGACCTCTTCCCGGATCTCCCAGTGGCCGTGTGTCAGCACTCACTTCCCGATCAGGTTCTGTGAACTAACCACAGAAGGCGTTGGGGAGAGGAGCACACAGAAGGGGATGTCCCCGTTTAGAATCACAGATTTGCCATTCACAGCCTAGGGACGGCCTCTTGCTGAGTCTTCATGATTCTGAGCTGCAGTTTCTCATCCTTAAAATGGGATCCTAGTAGGAGGACTTAATACAACAGGTCGTATAATCAGCTGTCACGTGTTAGCTTCCTTCCTGCTCATAGGAACCCGAGGCTCTAAAGCAGCACTACCTTGCCATGAAGTTGTATTTGCACCCTGTGATTGGCAGTAGCTAACAATTATTGTTTCCACTGTACTGAGGAGTGTGCTTGGTGTTTTGTTTACATTACCATGTTGAATCCTCATTGGAGCTCTGTGAGCAAGATGCTAATGTTATCCCCATCTTACTGAGAAGTTGCTGGTGCTCAGAGAACGGAAGCGCTTGCTCATCTCCTTAAGCACCGTTGCGTACTCTGTGCTCTGCTTGCAGCCCTGGGCTTCGCTGCACGGGTCCTCACAAGCCCCTCAGGGGAGTCTC